GAGAAAACTTCAATTATTGCCTCTCTATTCAACTCCAGTTTCCGTTGAATATCTTGGAGCTGACGGAAGATAGCGATATTTTTATGAATATCTTTTTTGTAGCTCTCATAATTCCCTATACAAAAGGCATCTATAAAAATTTTACTATCTCCCTTCAATTCCGAGATAGCAGCCAAAAACGCAGCTGTCCTAGTTTGTTAGTTAGTTGCTGAATTACTGCGAGAAAATGGTGAAAAATTATGATAATTGAGGGAAAATTGAGCGGTTATTTCCCTGAATTGAGAAGATATTTCCGATGGAGAGAGAAATTGATGTTTATTTTTTTAATTTGTCATTGGAATGCCGCGTCGTTCAATAACATTGCTGTGAAAATAATACAGTTATCTTTGAAAGCTGTGTAACTATTAAAATAATAGTTTGCAATCAATATAGCGAGTATTTAGTGTGATAACGTCACCTCGGCTGACGTTTCAAATGCCTTTGAAAGACATTGTTCACGATTACATAAGGCCAGTGAATAATACAAGGCATTGTACGGGAGAGTATCGAACTCTCACTCGGTCAAACGAGGATATTCGACTCTTGCGTTCTATTTCATATATCTTCGATCGCTTTTTCCTTCTCACCGCCCCATTTCCACCCACGGGTTTCTGACCTCCAAGACAATGCAATTGCTATTTCCCCTGACACAATAAGACGTTGCAAATTTTAACGTCCTAAAAATTTTTGTCACAATTCTAAGAAGATAATCCAAGAAATTTAATTTCCACTGAAAAGTGCAAAATTTGAATAAAAAATTAGCTTATTGTTATTTATTTGAATATTTGAAGGTTAATGTTGTAATTGTGCAAGAGGTAATTACACGAAAGGTCTGGGGGTGGAAGGAGGTGGAAGAAGGTGGAAGGAGGTGGAAGGGGGTGGAAGGGGGTGGAAGGAGTTGGAAGGGAGTGAAAGGAGTTGGAAGGGGGTGAAAGGAGGTGGAAGGGAGGAATGGAGTGGTAGGGGGTGTACGGAATGAGGGGTTGATAGGAAAGGATAGAGTAGTTTGAATGGGTACTCCTGGGAATTTGTAAGAATGAAAAAGCAGGTCAGCGTTGTCGTGACACAGAGAGACGCCGGTTGGCGTCGCGACGCCGTTGGTCGCGTGGGCGTTACGGAATTGTCCCGTGTGAGGAAAGAGGTGGAGTTTGACAGAGCGTGAGGGAGGAAAAGGGGGATGAAATGGTTCACTAGGAAATGAAGGCGAGGAGAAAAGGGTGCAGAGTCGATGGGTTCCCGACCTCGACAACTCTGGGGCTCAACGTGCCCTCGCCATTCATTCCTTCGCTCTATGGAGATTTATCAAATACCCAGAGGCCTCGCTAAATTTCAATGGGCAGATGCACATATTCCCAAGTATACTTCATTTTAGAATACTTTGTTGCAATCCGTGCGTAAAAACACCGATAACGCACGCCGCGAATTAATTCCAAATTTTTGATTTCATTTATTCTTCATTTCGGGTCAATAAATTAATTATTTTTTTTATTCACTCATTTCAATTTATTTATTTATTTGGTAATGGTGAATCAATTTTTATTGGATAAATGATCGAATGCCCTGGGCGCTCCGTTGTAATTATAAATATCATGATTAATAATCATAAAACTCAATGATTTCTGAATTCAAATTAGTCACAAGACGACTGTGAATTAATGAGAGATAAGGGATTGCGAGCTCGACCTCAATTAATCGATTCTCGCTCCGTGATCGATTTGCCTTGAAAGGACGGAGGGCTTATCTAAGAAACAATAAAGCGGAAAAAATCGGGTGCCTCTTCAATTCTTCTGTGATCCTGTTAAAAATTGAAGGAAATCGAAAAAGTCTTCAATTGGATTATCCCTCGATAACCGCATTTTTGTAACTATACTCAAACTAATAATAATAAACGAAAACTAATTATAAAATAAAATTTTATAATTGATAATGAAAAAAAAAATCAATTTATTATCGTTCCGTATTTCATCAAATTATATTGTTAATTTTTCGGGTCGGGGACTCTTGAATGAATTTTAAAAAATTGTTTGAATTTCATTTCTTATTAATTAATTAATTTTTAAAAAATAGTTTCAACTTAAATTCCCATTATTCCTAATTAATTCTAATTAATCATGATTGGTTCGAATTAATTCCAATTAATTTCTCGTTAATTAATTTAATCATGCATTTTTTTTAGGGCGAATTCTCTCTGTTGGAATTAATTTTCAAAATAGTGGCATGGCATGGGTTTCTGGTGTGGAGTGGTGGTGAGGTGGAGAGGGTAATTAGACACATTCTCTGTTGGTTTCATTAATTATCGCGAGAATTAACCTTGTTAGGATATCCGGAATGAGGGGCGTGGAGAGGTGACAGCCTGGGGGTTTTTCTTCACGCTGTACATCTGGGACTTTAATTAATGTGGGAATGCACAGTGGATTTAATGGGGAAGATGTTTGGAGGTGATTGATGATGCAGACGAGAAATGCAGTTATTAAAAAATTTCCCGCAATTTTCCGAAACGAGATTTTTCAATTTAAGGATATTCTCTCCCCTTTCACCCAAAATTCACAAATTTTTGAGTTTTCTGACAAATTTATCGGATTGACTGCAAAAAATAAACCGTTTTCGTATTTTTTATTCAACTCCCAAAATGTCATGATTGTGCAATAATTTTCTACCGGTTTTTTCCAACTTTTCCAAAATTCATAAAACCTTCAAAAAAAAACGATATATTTTTTCAGCTTAATCCGATTAATGATTTCTTAAAAAAAACTTTAAAAAATCGATAATTTGGGATTTTCCCAAAGTTTTTCAACGTTTGTGGTTGAGCATCGAAGTTTTTATTTTTTATGCAGCCAATTTTTTCCGTTGAATCCTCTTACTGTGACAATATTCACTGTTGATCCATTTTGCGTTATTTACTCAGCAAAAACCTCCATAATTATCCGAGTTATTCAGCAACTGTAACATAACAATTTTTTTACCACCGCATGTGGTCGTCGGAAAACACTTACTCCACGTGACACGTACATTTTATTAATTAAAATCCGTCGTCACTTTTCGATGCGACGAAATCGTCACTGGATCCTGTGCGTCATAATGAATTTGCACAAGAAATCATTAGCGAAAGAACAACGCACCGGTGACAGCCGCTGATAAACACTTTGTTGTAATGAATATTTTCCTACGATAATGCATAGTTAAGAGGCAAGGTAGTGCGCGTGGCAAATACAAATCAACGCCAATTCCCCTTGAACCTTGCAAGTTCTCTTGAACACTGCATTACAATTAATAATTTCATACGGATAACGTGGGTCGCCCACACAATGAAATTAATTTATGAAAATTATTTGCCTCGAGAAATTTTTCAACAACATTCCAGTGAAAAACTCTCGTGCAAACACTTGAATTTTCCTCGTATTTACATGAAATTTTCACAGAAATACAGGAAAAATTAACCTACCTCCATTACAATTTTTCCCTAGCCATCAATTTTCCGCCCCTTTTCCCGGACTATCGCAATTACTCATCGATTTCTCTCTTCAGAAACCCAGATGTAACAAAAACTCTCCTAATATATATATCTAAAGATTTTACTACATAATCATTTCTGCAAATATTTCATACAAATAGTATTTTAATGTTACAAATTAACATGAGCCCAATAAAAAGAAAATGTTTACCCAACGAGAAGTAAACAAATGGAATTGAAATACAATAATTAGATATTCTGAACGATCTCCACTTGATAAGGAATTAATGCTCACGGATGAACCGAAAAAAAGTCAAGTAAAATGGTTTCAACATATTAATAATGATATTGCGCAGTGATAAAGGTGTTGCCAGTGTTGGGTAATGTTCAATGTTATACTTAAATGAAGCATTATAGATTACCTTGAGCTTCCACGGTAGGTCACAAAGTGAGCAATCCAATCTATACCGATAACTTCAATTTTCCTCCTTTCATTAAACTTTAACGTGAAAGAAACGAAGGGAATTTCCTATAAATATCCACTCTTATAATTGATTGGTACTAAATCAGGAACTTTCCATCACACTACATCCGCTCATTTACCGGGCATGAATGATTCATAAAGTTTTTACAATACCGTCTCAATGTTTTACACACGGATGATCACCCAGTGAATTCCTCGTGGCTGTTTGATAACGATTGTTGAATACCATTCCAGTGAATTCTCCTCGTACTCCAAACCCTTAATACCACTGGTTTGATAACCGTCTCGGACAATTTAATGCGATTCCTGTGGAACGCGACCTTCAATGGATGCTTTAAGACCCCTCACTAGACGACTCAAATTCCATTCGTGTCCAATCAATTCGCTAAGTAGTTGAAATATTTCGAAACTAATGGAATGGAATGTCATATTAAATTCATTTATCTGCCATGACAAACAATTACTTTGATAAAACATCCACTTCAAACACTCCAAGACATTTTTTTCGTTTGAACAGTTTTAGTAAATATCTTGGAATTGAAGGGCGATTATTACATTTTTGTAAATACCTTTGTGTACCTCTCAAGATTATTTATAAAAAAGATGTTCATAAAAATATCGCCATTTTTTTTTAATTATGAGAATACGACCTCAGAACTAGTGTCAAAAACAAATGTATCTCTAAAATTATTATTTCACTACAGAATAAATAATTTTTCCTTGGATTTTCCATTTTTCCATCATTTTCAGGAAGTGATTAAATCAGCGAATAGGTCTTTCATTGATTTCCAATAAAACAATATATTTTTTCGGATCAATCGGCTCAACAATTCATCAGAAAACTCAAAAGAAAAGAAAACTGAAATACAAAATACACCTACAAAAAATAAACATTAATTAATTAATTAATTAATTAACCTAAAATTTGGAATGGAAAAAATGCTCTTAGTTGAAATTTGTGGGTCATGTTTGTAGAATATATAAATAGTTGGAATAGTTTGTGTGATGGTTTAATTATTTTTACAGACGGCACTAAGTAATCTAGAAGAAATGCAGCACAATCCAATGCTGTACAGAAGTAATGAGCGGGGTAGGAGTATGCATGGTGTTGGACCAATGAGATCAAGACCGATGGAAAAAAGATACGATACATCGCCCTATAGTGGTACCTACCTGTCACCTCCACTGCCAGACACATGGAGAAGAACCAATTCAGATTCGGCGTTACATCAGAGTGCCAATGAGGCCTGTCAAGCCACATCTCCAATTCCCCATCGCAGAGGTAGCGATGCATGTCGGTGTTATTTTCTTTAATTGATTTTTTCCTCCATTTTTTAATTAATTTTTTATCAATCATTCACTTACCGTCGATTATCCAATTCTTCCACTCCAGTCTGCTAACAATTTTTGGTTTAATTTCCCGTTGAGAATTAAAAGCTCTTGCGAAATTGGAGATTTATCATTTTATTAGTGCTCGCAACACATTTTAATTTCTTTTAATGATAATTAAATGAAATCATAGTATAATTGCGGAAAATTGCGAATTTTACTTCAATTACTGCATGACAATTATTGGAAGGGGAAAAGTTCAGGGAAAATTGTCTATTGAATTCTTAATTTTTTATTTATCCTCTTGTCGTTCATTATCTGGGTTTTACACTCTAGTTTGTTAACCATTTTTCGTTTAATTTTCTGTTGAAAATTAAAAGCTCTTGCGAAATTGGAAATCTATCATTTTATTAAAGGCTCACAGCACATTTCAGTTTTTCTCAGTAATGATTAAGTGAAAATATTCTAGTTTAATTACTGACAACAGCGAATTTAATTTCAATCATTGCATGACAATTATTGAATGTAGAAACATTCATGTGAAATTATCAATTAAAATTTCATTTTTTGATGGAGAAATGAGTGGAAATGTAAATTTCAGTGTAATTATTCCATGAGAGTAGATATAAATGTTATTTTAATTGATTGTTGTGAGAATTCAGTACTGATTTATTGAATTTAAAGAGTAATCTGGAAATAGTGCATTAACAGCAAAATTGGCTTGAATATTTTCAATCCGAGTGGGACCCATGAGAATTAATATTCTCCATTACTCATTACAGATCAACATGCGATGGGCAACACCTCTGGGGACACTAGGGATGGCCATCACGGGTTTATCGAACGACCAAGATCTTCCTGTGAGATGCCTCGAGTGCCCGGAATCCAGTAAGTCAATTACCCCAGGAAAATTGACTTTCCGTTCGATCTTAGCCGATAGTTTATTCATAGCTAACTGTGGGCAATCCGATGATTCGGTTAAAAAGAAAATTCACATATCCGGATTAAATGTTTCATTCTACCAATGGAGTAGTTATCAAATTATTCATAAGTTCAGGTTTTACACTCAGAAAGACTTTTCTTCTCACCAAAAAAATTTACTGTCAATCAGCACTCACACATCTTGCAAATTAATTTTCCAAAAACTGAGGCAAACGTTTATTTTCTTTCCATAACTCGTAGGAATTGATTTTCATTGAAATTAATTGATTCCTTCAAGAGGAAATTATTAATTTTAGAGGCTTGATTGGATGTATTGATCCTTTCTCTCCTTCTTCTTGGAGGTACATGATTTTTATAATTCATATACATTCGATTGTAGTTTAATTCAATGTCTGGTAGAGTACTAATGATCCGCCTGAATTTCTTAGTTAATTCAGTTTCACAGAAAGATTTTTGGAGAATTTATTTGCTTATATGTACTGATTATCCATTTACTTTATCTTCTGATATTCTCCTGTTAGATCTTTTGATAAATTATTTTGATGATGAATATCTCACGAGACATCGTCATTCATTATTCCAGGGGACATCTTGAGATTATTTCTCTCGGTGTACCGTACCTGGAGTTTGCTCATATTAATTTAAAGTTTGCGTCAAAGTTGCATTCTCGAATATTTCCATGAGAGATAGGGGAACGAAAACATGAGAGAACATCAAATGAATCGGTGCATTGAGGAAAATAATTAACGTATATCTTTTGTGGGGTAGGTTGTTTGACAGGGGTAAATGCCAGAGAAATTCATAAAGAGCAAACAGAAATTTTCAATTACACGCTGCGTTCGTACGGAGGGTTTAACCCTGAGGGATATACACATAACATTCGGTGTAGTCGAACAAAGGTTTTCAGTGGGTTGCGAGATTTTTTAATTGAGTTTTTTTTTCACGTGAAGTAATAGCAAACGGTATTCGTGCCTTTTCATTTGACTCTTTCGAGAATATTCGAGGAGAGCAGTCCCTCTCATAAAATTGGCTTTCAGATGATTGAAGTTAATATAAAGTAAAGTTCGTAAAGTTGCTAAATTGAAATTATGAAATTATGAAATTATGAAATTATGAAATTATGAAATTATGAAATTATGAAATTATGAAATTATGAAATTATAAAATTATAAAATTATGAAATTATGAAATTATGAAATTATGAATTCCTCAATGAAGAAAGTATTACTATTTATTCTGCTATAAATATGAATTAATTTTTTCGACGAAATTGCCAGATGAATATTTTTTTTTCCCACAGCATATATCCAAGCTCACAACCACCAGGTCCCCAGACACCAATTGGTAACAATACGGGTTCTCTGCCAGATCTAAGTAATGTTCACTTCCCATCGCCACTTCATACACCACTGGATCAAGAGGATCACTCGAGTAGTACGCAATATAGCAACGTGAGTAATTTTGTCATTTACACTTCATGAAAAATAACAAGAGCTTCATAAAGGGTCACCGAATATCGATGATGAGCATAAAAGAGAGCGGAAACGAATCGTCAAGAGACTGTCAAGCACAGTATCTTAAGTTTTGCGTATTTTTTTTTAAATCGTTCGAATGATCTTAAGATAATTCAGCTTGATTGAGGTATTTGATTTTCTTGGCTTTTCTAACAGCGTGTTCAGTCCGATGCCACTCCCGTAGATTTACCGAAGGTATGCCAACGAATTTCTCCGGTTATCTTTCTTGTCAGAGTGTATTATACAATTTTATTCAATTTTAAAATCTCATTTTAACATTATTTTTCATGTTACTCATTCGCACAACGCTTTTATCGGATTTACTTATCGAAATTCAAATAATAAAGCAAACGCACTTTTTTGTATTTCATATTTTTTTTTTGTATTTCTGTGGCGAAGTTGTCAGTTTGTAATTGATTTTTCTCCAAAATAAAACGAAATTCTAAGTTGTTGACCACTTGGCTGCAGAATTGCTATTGACTCTGAATATTTAAATAATTTGTTAAGGATGTTCTGTCACCTTTCACCAAAAATTAAAGGTTTTTTGTGTTTTCGGATAAATTGTTGATCGGATTGACCCTAAAAAATCGATCCTTTTTGCATTTTATTATTATTTAATGACTCAGTAGATGTCTTGAGCGTTTAGTAATTTTCCTGTGTTTTTTCTAACGTTTTATCAATTTTTGAAAAGTTTCGAAAAAATCAATTTTCGAAAAGTTTCAAAAAAATCAATTTTCGAAAAGTTTCAAAAAAATTCACAATCTGAAAAGGTTATATTTTTAACACCTCAAATAAATAAATTTTTAAGAAACGATATATTTTTTCCCGTCAATTCGCCAGAAAATAAAAATTAAAAAAAAAACCACTAATTTTGATTTGAAGAGTGTAGAGCAGTCCTAAATCAAGCACGGAAAGGTATTCCATATTATTCGTGTAAATTCGTGGGGAATGTCGAGGTGATACATAGGTGGATAGAAAAGAAAAAAAAATCTCTGTGTGGATTAATTCCAGAGTCCTCAAACGGGCAGTCCTACGACATTATCGCCAACGAGTTTGGCACAAGCTGGGAGGCTATCCTTTTCACAGGACCACAGCCCACCAGCAGCCCAAGTAAATATTCCTGGTCCATTTTTAGATTGTTGTCTGGATTGTTTAGTAGTAGTCCATTGTTCAAAGAAAACAAGAGATGTTGAGCTAAATTAGATTGATCGAGCGTTGACGCCCTAGAGGAATAATCATGAATTCATGAAGTCGAGAGATGAACCGAATAATGCTCTAGACATTGTTTTGTGGATCTCCAGTGAAATTCACTGTGCATGACACATACGAATTGTTGCATGATTGCATGAAGCGCATGTCCAGAGAAAACAGGATAATTGCATATTTCTCCGCTGTATTATTGTTTCTGCTAATGAATTATCGATTCACTAGCAAATGGATATTATTTTTGGATGTAATGAAATTGTTGAAAATATAATTATTCAATATTTCCTGTGGATTCTGTCCATGTGTAATGAAACATGAGTAAATAATTGAGACGACATGCAAAATCAAGTGAATTTTTCTCTCCTAGACTTCACAATTTGCGTCAGAATATTTTTTCCACGAGCAATCTCTTGGAAAGTGGTACACTAGAATAAGTGCATTTTTTTCCAGACCATTTTCCACCAATTTTTCGAAATTGAAGGAAGATAGGGATATTTTCATAGAGACCTTTTTTATAGCTCTCCTCTTTTTCTACAGAAAACGCATCTGTAAAAAATTCGCTATTGTCCTTCAAATGTGAGATATTGACTGAAAACTGGTGAAAAAAAAATGCGCTTATCCTAGTTTACCACATCGCTACCAAAATGAGACTCCGTGTTCTGATTACATTCGATTATTGATAAAAAATGCATCAGTCCCGCTGCCATGAAGCATTTTCTTTTTTTGCACCACAATTTTCTCTTCCCATGACATTTGTATCATTATCAAATCCACGAAAGAGACCACAGGTGTCCTAGTATTCGAAGGCATCCTCAATCCATTTTAGTGGAAAAGGTCGTAAGTTGCATGAAAGAGATTGCTATCATCAGCTCGATCATCATCTACCCTTTTGTTCCTTATACCTTGGCTTATTTTTCTACCCCATCCTCTCTCTTTCGTTTATTAATCTCTGACACTCGTTATCCTTCAATCATCACTCACTTTTTGTTTCTCCACCGAACAAGGTTTTTTTTTACTTTTATTTATATTCAAAACACTTATTATTTTGCCTTTTTTTGTAGTGGTTCCTTTGTCTTTATTATTTTGCAGAACCATTTATCAGTGCCTGTTAACTCTAGGTTCCTCCATACATGTAAGGTCAGTAGTGAACAATAAAATTTTTTTCTTTTTCTTCATTTTGCTTTTTTTATCATTTGACAAATAAATCTCATTAATGCAGTCATTTATCCATCAGACCCAGATATTATTTTAAATCGATACCTAAAGTGATCCTCTGCATTTGAACGAATCGTTTGAATGAATGTTTCGCTTGAAACTAGTGGAGATAATTTTACTTATGAATTTTAAATCATTGGGGGATGGTTTTCATTGAAGTGGAGAGAAGTTTTTTTTTTAAAGTTCCTATTGAATTTAAATTTTAATGTCATTCTATTTATATCAGAGTGAGGAGAAATGGGAATAAGATCTGGGGGGAATGAACGTCATAAAGGTTCACTCGAGGGTGATGGATGCCACTTCGTGAGATCATGGGAAACAGTGGCTCTGTTTGCTTTTTCAATCCGAGAAAATCCATGAGATAAGTGGAACAATCCTCTCCCCCCTCCCACCTCCCTAGAATTTAACGGTTTTTCTCTTCTCTTCACTTGAGTCCACCCCTTTGAACGCCGTGATACCTAGATAAATGTTAGAAACGTGAATGAAATAGCGAAAAAATCAATTAGTCAAGTGAGGGATAATGATTTTCACCAGGGTGTGGCATTGGAAAATAGCACAAGTACTTCGCAACAGGATCTACAGTCCTATGGGCAAACCACTGCTCAACCACCACCTTCAGCTTCACATAGTCCTGCTCATCATTACATTTATCAACAGCCGCATAGTCCAGTGCCACCACAAAGTCCAGTAAGTCTCATGAACTTTATTCAATTGAAAAAAATACAGGATTAATTAATTATTGATGAATTACTCAGAAGACGTCGCAACCTCAGCATCAACAGCTCAATTCCCTTGGGTCCTACAGGACAAATCAGCAAGTGAGGCCATCACCCCAGTCATCACCTGGATTAACAGTTCAAGTGAGATAATTCATGAAGAATTTGATCGTTTACTCGATTTTCAGATTACTCATCAATGGATTAATTGAATTTCAGGGGAGTCCTCTCAGCTACAGCAACAACCCATCGGCACCACCGAGTCCCACAGGCCATCCTGGACCACCGAGTCTCACATCAGACAGCATAGACCAGAACAGCTACTTCATTAATCAGGCACAGGCTGCTGCACTCCAGCAGACGTTTGAGCAGTTTAATATGGTTAGTAATTAATTATTGCTTCGTCTATCAGTGCACCAGCCAAGTGGTGAAGCTAGAGAACTCCATTTTCATGAAGTAAAAAAAAATAGTGATAGGTACTTTCAAGTCTATTTCGAATGGAAGGCTCAATAAAAGTATTAATTCGCTGTTAACTTTTTACTTGTTTGAACGTAAATCGAAAGTCTTGATAGACTTCGTACTTGAAAGTTCTTCGAATTTTAAGTCTCGGAGGAATCTGGGACTTTACTTTTGTCAAGTCGTAATTTCAGCAGGACTTAAGACTCGGTTTTTAAGAAGTATTAATTTATTATTTAATTTTTCTTGTTTTAAGTCCGTTCGTATTTAGGATTTGAGAATTAAGGAATATTGGACTTTTCAATTTGTCGAAATTTGTTTTACAGAAGATATATTGGGAGCTTTGAAATCAATTTTGAATGAAATTTACTTGATTTTTCAATCTCATGAATTGGACCTCATAACAATTAAAATAAAATTGATTTAGAAATGTGAAAAATTAAATTTTCAATCCGTGCATGCTCTTGTTTAATTAGCAACAGAAATTTTTGCAATCATTGCAGTTTTTCTTTAATCTACAGGATGAATGGCTCAGCCTACGCAATTCTCTGTATTATTATCTCCTTGAAAACATGTTATTAGCATAAATAATTCGTTCAGTCGACGAAAACAAAACTTGATTCATTCCTGAATCAAATTCCCCTTAATCAATAATTAATAATTCACCTTTGCTTTATGTTTGTGCTTACCAAAGGGAGTGGTGAGTAAACATTAATTGATTAATTCGATTTAGAATGTCAGAATGGATAACTCATTTATTGTTTTTCCCTTTTGCTATTCCAATAAAATTCACGAATTATCAGGAAGTGGTGAGTAAATATTTATTGTAATGATGGAAGGAGCGATCGTAGGAAGATTTAGAGAGAGTTCAAGGCGATGTATTCTTAGTGGGAAGCATGCGAAAAAATTATGAAATTACCTCCCTCAAATTTGTAACTCAAAAACTCCAATTGTTTATTCTGTTACCTGCCTACCGTTAGGACTGGGCCCAAGTTGTGCAGCAGCTCGTGGAGTCCGGTTGGACCTCGCAGGTAGTTGTAATTCCCCTCCAACCGTCGTAAAACAATTAAATTAATTATCTTCCCAGTCAAAGGTACTCCACAATAAATTCCCTGATAGATTGTACATCGTACAATCATTACTGGATAAAACATTTTTATCCCCTGAGCTTTAATTATTCATTGAGAAATGTAGAAATGAAAGCGACGGAGTGAAAAATGCCGGAGAATTTTCTCTCGTGAAAATGAAGAAAAAAGGCCTGGAGGCAGGCTACCGAACACGGTAGGCGATCGATGGCTACTCCACTCCATAAAAACGCCACTAAAATGCTTTCAACGTTGAACAACGACAAAAAAAAAATGCCACAAAGGGTATCATGTCGGGGTAATTAAAAGAGAATTATGTTTTATGTTTGCACTAGATGGACTCGACGGTAGATCCCAACAGCATCAATTCGTACATCGGGTCGACGAACGACACGTCGAGCTACACTCAGGTGAGTCTTTTTTATTTTTTCATTAATTAACCACACGATTTCAATAGTTAATTAATTCTGTGGGGAAATTAGACGAACGAAATTTGGAAAATTCGTTAAATATGGATTTATCTCGAGGACTATTGATTCTAGGGGAAAATATCAGAGAACCTTTTTTGTTGGAAATTTAATCAGGTGCAAAAAAGTCCTCTACGGTTTTCACCTCGAATTGATAGATCAAGCGATGGGGGGATAATTTTGGAAAATTTATAGTTCGTTTTATCTGGATTGTGAGTAGATTGTTTTCTGGTTTAATTATGCCTTCGTGATTGTTTGTTATTCCAGCAGAACGATATGATTAATGTGGGAGGGGAATTGGGTAGCAGTGACGGGGGATATTACAGTACGAGTCCTCAAATGGCATATCAACCGAGGACACCAACTACGACGCAACAGTTGACGCCGCAAACGCCGAATACACCTACAATTATACTGACGGGTAAGTAAGCTTTCCATAAATTTCCATTACTCCAAAAAAATATCATACATCAAAGGGACTCCCCCAAACATCCCCATGAACTCTTAATGAATTTCCAGTAATTGTTTTTCAATTAATTTCCATAATCCATAATTAATTTTCAATCAACTTTCAATCAATTAAGACTTCACAGAAATTCAGTGTTAATTATTCATATTTTCTTTGGAACAATTAAGTATTTTTTTTATGTGAGAAATTAATAATGCAGAGTGTATTCAACTGATTAATTAATTTAACGAATAATGTTCGCAGATTTTTCGGGTACAGACGACCTAACGAGTCCGGAGTTTGCCAAGGACTTGGGCTCATCGATGTCTGGGGAATTTGATCCAGACTTATTCACATCGGACGATGCCCTGAGACAAGGTCTCGGCCCCATTGACCTGGACGGTCTACAGATGCTCACCGATCCCGATATGGTGATATCAGACGTCAATGCCGAAGAACACTTTAGGCTAGATCGTCTTTAAATAATTAATTTTATTTAGCTAGAGAGATAATCATTTGCAAAGCATTTTTTTTCAATTCCAGAAGCATGAAATACCGTTTATGAGATAATTGAAATGATCATCAAGTCATATGTGGGTTCAATTCACACCACCATCCCTCATTTTTTTTTCTCTCCTAGAATTAGTTATTGTTTTTATCCTGGTGTTCGTGGGATTTTAATTCGAGAGGAGGACTTATTCAATTGACGTTATTCAATACTGAGATGAATTAATTCAATCTACTTTTGACGAATCTCTGCGATTGATTTCTATGGGGAGATTGATCTATTTATGGTTTGATTTGTTTCTGAAAATATCTACTGCTGGGGTGAACAGTAAAATTGGGTAACAACTGACCTTTTCACGGATAATATGCCCCTCTAGCTCCATTGTTTTTTATATATTGAACATTCTGTTGGAGAAAATTTATTTTCGGCTTGAAAAAATATTGTAGCTTGTTATCACGGTTTTTAATGAAAGATTTGTTGAAGAATTACTGAAATTAAAAAATGGCAATTAGGCTAATTGAATAAATTTTCATCGAATTCAATCGCAGAAGCCGATAGTACGTGAATTCTTTATTGACTCCAGAGGATACTAAAATCCCTCTATGCCGAACAACTTTTTACCCATAAATCTAATTATTCGATTAGTCAACGATTCAATTGATTAGAATCATTGAAAATTCATCGTCGTTTTAAGAAAATTTATCAATTGTTTTTTTTTTATTTTATACTACTTTGTACATTGTATCATAATATGATCTCTGAAAATGCACAAAAGAGTGAAATTTATAAGCGTAAAGGATTAATGAGTGACAAATGTGAAGGACAACATTGAGAGTCAAAACGTTCAATTAATTTGTTAAACTCAACTCGAATAAGTGACTGGAAACTGTAGATAAAGATTTTCTTTTCTTAAATTAAACATTTTTCCTCTGTTAAATAAATTTTTCATCGTCGGCTTTATATCGAAACGGAAGAGATTTATATATCGTGATTTGCCTCGAGGCACTTGAGTGTATAGATATACTGAGAAGTTAAATATATATAACTATTTAAGGGAAAAGGACTGATGTTGAGAAACGTAAGATGAAATCATTCAACCAGTGAATTTGCGCCCGAAGGAATGTATTTCATAGTCAATACCTTCTCTTCTTTTTTTTCATTATTTTTCTTTTCCTCAGCCCTTTGTACTTCATTCGTCGATGTTTTACACAACAATCTCGTTCTTTTTGCATTAAAAGTCTCGGTTCCTTTCAGCTTCTCGTGTGCAGTAGTTTCCATCAACTTTCAGTGACATTTTTATTAAACGAAAATGAAATTTCATTGACGAATTGTCATTCAGGGAAATCAAACGATTCTCCATTTCTTGCCTGCAGAAGTCCTTGTTCTCTGCATTTCTTACGGTTAAATTATTCGTCAGTGTTATTAACGGGAAATTTTCTCTTCATTTTATTGAATTGCCATGATACAGGCCTTCAGCATGCTGTGATAATTACTTGTTGTTATCTGCATATCATTTCGATCTTTTTACTAATTTTAATGGCTGAGGTTAATGAGGATGAGCTTATTGAACGAGAATATCCGTGGAGAGTTTCACGAAAGCTGGGGGTAGATTCATTTAGATAATTGGAGACCCACAGAATCGAATTTCTAGTTCCGATGCTAGAGTTTTTCATTATATAAACAGTTTTCAATTCGTTCAGTCCTAACTAAAAGACTGTTTCGTTCTATTTAATTTCCAACAATGAAGTAATTAATGTCCACTCGTATACAATTTCTTATGAATTCAGGTAGATAATTATGGAATGACGGAGATTAGGGTACTGGAATGATAACGGTCATGGGGAACAATGAGACAGAAATAATAAATAAAAAATTGAATCATAATAAATATAAATTTGTGGCACGTATTGATGCTCTCGCCTGTACCCTCCGCGATTGTCAATTGATTTTTTGAAAGTAATACTGTACTTTATACATATTTGACTAGTCGTTAATGAAAGAATTGTCGGTGAGGTGAATGGAGACCTTTTGATACAAGAGGCCAGAGTGGATTTTACGAAGAAAAGAATGTTTTTATCTACAAAATCTCGTAATATATCGACAAATTAAATCGAGGGAAAAGAAAAATTATAAAATTTTCGTGTTCTATCGTTAAGATAATTTGATACAAGTATAAGTGCGTGAACGAATTCACCTGGTGAGGGATAAATAAAACATTAATTCGAGTTATTTTTCTCTTCCCTTAATCTCACTGGGAAATCAGAGAGCTTTTGACAATTAAAAGACTAAACTGAATGGCTAGAGGGAAAATTGAAGGAAAATGGTAGTGGTTCGGTGAGAGATGTTTCCAGTTGTTTTTATTGAATTCTCAGTGTTTGGAAGTGGTGCCAAAAAATAAGAGGTCTGCTATCGAGGAATGGGGAGGTAATGTGGTATTTTATTCACTTAGCTTTGGATTTTTGTTACTCCAGCACAAGTGTTTAGTACTTAAACAATTGGAGGATGAGGTGAAATAGTAATCGGATACATGAGATTGACATTTGACGAGGGAGCTAGAGTGTGTGATGCTAATCAGTCGAAATACTAGTCTTTATTGCTTGTTTTGCGATGGATTTTATTCAAAGTTTAATCAGGGGATGAAGTTAACTTAATTTACTCAGTTTGTTCACAATTTGTTGATTCGGGATGATTTTTTTACATACATCATTCGACTTATCTCCTCACGCCACAGACTAGGCAGAATTATTGTTGAAGATTCTTTTTTTTATAACAAAAACGACGAAGGGAGGGAAAAGTACAAGAAACGTAGAGCTGAATATTGCCCAAGGGATGATGAGAGTGGAACAAGGAAAGAATTTTATTATCTGTTACTCGTTTCATCAGTTTATAAGACAGTGCGGAATAAACAGGGAGTCGGGATTTTTTTGTAATTATTTGTAAATAATCAACGT